CCCCAAAACCCCAAAACCCCAAAACCCCGTGAAATTCAATAAGCATAATTTTTTGTTAAGATTTCTGATAGAATAATATTAAAATCAATTGAGAATTATTAAAATATCAAAATTAGATGTCGTATAATCAGCAACCTACTACGCCAAAAGATCAGAATAATATCGCCAAGCAAGATTCGAATAATTCGTAGATTTCTCCTTAGCAACAAAGATTCAATCCAGGAATAAATCATTCAGTTACATTAGGAAGCATAGCTAATCCACAAGGTCAAATTCTGACAATGGATGAATTTCTGCAGAAAATTGATCCAAATGAAATTGAGATCAAAGTTGTCAGATTTGACAAGAAATATTTCGGATAATCTGTAACAATAACATATGCACCTTCTAATTATTAAATCATAGACGTACGTGATAGAGATATTCCTGGTTGAGCTCGAAGTCTGCTATGAATCAAACAAGGCTATCACTGAATTTCAAGCATTTTATGAAGCAGTAAGTTATTCTATCGATATTCTATTTTGTTGTCACTTTTATGACTCACTATTTTTTACCTCAATAATAAAGCATAATTTAGCTGAATATGAAATTCAGGAATCTTAAGTTATCTGAATTCCCCACTAGCTCTACCTTCAAGATGAATTCTTCGAATGAGAAAAGGATTTAAAAGTTCTAGGAGTTGTTTGATCTGATACTGAGGTACGCTTGCAGATACTAGGAGATGGCTTAACCTCTCATGATAATGCTTTATAAGTTTTTACTCTCAAGAGCGAAGATTATCCAAAAGAAACCTGCTTAGTAATTAGATGCTAGCACTAAATCAAATCATCAGAGGCAGCATAGCTAAACAATTTCTTTATAAAATGAGTAGTAAATCGATACGAAGTAAGAAAGTCTGACATCTCAGCAACTGAATAAAATTTCAGAAGGGTAGGATTCTTCCTAAAACCAATATCAGAGTCTTGGTGGTGATTTAAGTTAATCCAATCAACACTTTAAATTAGTCCAGAATCGTAACAGGGCTGAATCTATGAAACTTTATGAGCCAGCAAATCTATTGGAATTTGATAGCAAGGATCATGATGATTTAAATATGATATTTGAGACAAATAGCGATAAGCAAAACGATGACATCGCCAATTCTAAAGGATCCCTAAGCGTTAGAAGCAAAGGCTCGAAAAGAAGGAGAAGATCTCAAGAACCATAGCTAGATAAAATAATAGATCATAATCTTTCACCAGATATTCATGCAGTCAAAAGACAAAATAATTCAGCCAAAAGAGGAAATAAATAACATTTAAGGAGTAGGATAAATAGTAATTAAGAGGAGGAAACTAAATTTGAGAGTGTTACAAGTCAAGAAAATTAAAAATAAAAAGACGAATTATCTGAGAAAAAATATAAATCTGGATAAGTATAACTTTATGAAAAAGCTCCCGATGAAGATGTATCTCCAGATAAAAAATAATCAATCCTAATTACTCCTAAAGCTAATTAAGAACATTCTATTATCAGTAAGTTCTAGGAGCAATCTCAATCTGTTGCGAACCAATAGCTTCAGAATAGAAAAGCAGATGAAAGAGCGAAACAAGCTAAATTCGAATAAAAACTAAAAGAGATCAGAGTCCATCGAGAAAGTTAGATATCACTTGAGAATTTTGACTATCTATTTGCAAAGCTTCCTCATAAAAATGATTGGAAGAAATACTATGTCAGATATAATAACTCTCAATTGATGTTTTGCAACTCAGTAAAGGTATGTTTACACTATTTATCTAATAAACAACATTTAGAGACATGATTTCAAGTGTTCATTCGTGCTATACAAAGCAGTGGTTAGAAGATAACGAATCTATATTGGTGGAGTTGATGATGATAGTCAGCCAAGAAAGATAGATGCCCTCATGATCTCACATAAATACGATGATGATGCGATGTATATCACCATACCTGAGATTTATGAATCACCTGAATTCCAAAAGATTTTTCTGCCATTACTTGATGTGATAGAACAAAATCTAAATAAAAATGCAGCAAATATCCCTGATAACATGGTGCCAATAGATTAGACAAACAAAAATCCTTTTGGAAAGATCATGATGGAGATTTAGTCCATCAAGCATTTCCCTTATTATCACAACATATTCGTAAGAGTCACGTGCAATCCATTTGTATTGCATTCTAGGAAAATTCTAGACAATCAGTTAGAATTCTAATAGAGATACTACATTCCTGTTCATAATCATTTCAATACACTGAAAATAGAAATCATTAATATACTCAATGATGGGTGGTTCAGAGAGCACGTTAAAGAGTAGGTGATTGCAACTTATGAAATAAGACTAACAGATATAGACAAAGAACCTTTTGATGAGGTAGGTCTAATAAAGCTTCCAATATCTGAGACAGTAGACTTTAAAAAACTTGGTCTAAGGCCCGTCTAAGATATGGAAAACTAAGTAAAAAAGAAATAGTAAGCATTATAATAAATCCATTTTTAATCTATTAATTTAGAGCTTATTTGTAGTTAAGAGTATAAGATATGACAAGGATCGATTCAATGATAGTATTTAATCCTAACAGAGATATTGTAGAGGACAGAAGGAAGAAGAGTGGGTATGGTTTCAAAGAGATATCAACAGTGATGACAAGGACAAAGCTGATAATTTTCTTATTTGAATATTTAAGAGACATTGATAGGCCTGTACTATATTTTGACTATCCAAGATTTTCAATTCTTTGGTTCGTTGTAAGACCATCATCTATATAATTTGACTAAATCATTTATAGTCTCTTGAGATATTTACGATTACTTTCAACCCTTTTTACCTTCTGACATACCTGACTATATTTGTTTTCGTCCTAGTTGGTTCTTACTCAGAGTTTTGGGTTACTTACATTACCCCTCACATAAGCGAGATATTCTTTAAAGAGGAGCATTTAAATAAATTGATAATCCCGAATCACTAAGTAAGAACACATGATCAGATCTCTTAAGAGAAATCAATGCAATCTTTAAGAGAGGCTTCAAATGAATTGAAACAGATGCATTAGGATTATAACATTAAAGATAAGAATATTCTTGGTAAATTTAGAGATTTCAAGAAAAGTTCAACTGTCACTTTAAACTATATGGATATAACTTGTGATTTCTTTGAAAAGACAAAAAATCTAATCAAGTGGGAGGAGCCTAGAATGACAAAGTACTTCTTGCTCTTGTGTATAGTGCTGTTCATTGCTGTCACATTCATTCCTATAAGAATTATAATCTCTGTATATCTAGTTTACAAGTTTTACAGAGGCTAATTCTACCATCAAAGAAGAATTAGAAGTAACAGGGAAATCATTAGTATAGAATTCTTGAATTTCCTTGAGGAAAGCAAGCTTAAATCAAACTTTCTTAATAACTATGATGAGCAGTGGGAGAAAGTATTGGGGAAAAGCATGAATATCAAGCTATTTGAATAGAAGTTAAGTTTCTATTTCTAAGAAACTTTAAAGCTCTACTTCCCAAAAGATATCCTTAAACTTAAAGACAATAATAATGCTAACTATATAGCTGATACTCCAAATAAATTAATAGATTATGTATCCAAGGTTAAAGATAAACTGCAATTGCCATTAAGGGATAGGAATGAACAGCATTTAGAGTTCAATTCTAATCTCTATAGAAGTGCTATTCCTAGCTATATATACCTTCTTAATTTCTTAATGAATAGAGTCCCATCTGACATTTATCGAATAAAGAATCCTAAGCTTGAAATTGGCTAGGAAAATAAAGGAGCTGATGGAAAAGAGAAAGTTTTCACTGTAAAATAGGAGGTTAGGGAAGATCTTAAGGGAGTAATAGAAAATGACAGTTAAAACAATGCTACTGGAGAAAGATAAGGTATAGCTAATTAGATTTTAAGTGGCATATAGCAATAAATAGAGGAGTCCCTAAATGTTAAAAAATAAAAATGAGATACTAAAGATTTTATCTTTAATTTCTCTAAAATTATCTATGCTATAATAAAGGGGTTTTGGGGTTTTGGGG